TACTATTGTGATTAGATTTTGTGCATTGTAAATATAATTAGCTATATATAATGAAGATGTCACTGCCTGATCTACATGCTAATATAGTAGGATGATCTGGGACAGTGTTTTGCAACCTTGGCCATATTAAGATGGGTGGACTTTAACTCCTTAGAATTCTGGGAATTGAAGTCCACCCATCTTAAAGTAGCCAAGGTTGAGAGACATTGATCTAAGAAGTTATGTTCAGACTGATGTAAACTAGCTCTTCAGTCATTTCTAAAATTGGGCAATAAGCACCACTATTGCTTGCTAAGTGATTACTAGTTTATTTTTAAAAATCACATTCGTTTGTCTGCAAACTATTTTGATACTATTCACTATCATTAATTTCGATCTAGACAATGTTATCCAACCCTGACAAAATCCAGCTGTGTTGTGACCTTGAAGTCCATACATCTCAAACCCTCCAAAGGTTAAGAAATAACATGTCTAGATTAAAGTTGCAGCCTGATGTGAATAATATATAAGGCAATATACATACAAGGTATATAATTAATTATACAACTTTTATGATTTATAGTGCGTAGATGGAATATTGTGTTTTAAAATGATACCCCATCATGAAAACTCAATATATGTAGTGAAAGAAGTACGTGGGGAAGAAGATTGTGTCATCCTTGTGAGTTTAGAAACCATGAAAAATTGGGCCTGTTTTAGTATTTGAATAGAAGATCACCAGGGAAGGTCAGGACTGTGAGTTAGTTTAGGAAGTTGTACAGATACTATGTACACATTGAAACTACCACACAGAGAAAAAGACTAAACTACATTACACTAAGGGGACATGGTAGCTCAGTGGCTAAGATGCTGAGCTTGTTGATCAGAAAGGTCGGCAATTCAAATCCGTAGTGCCACATAATGGAGCAAGCCCTAGCACTTACTTGTTCCAGCTTCTGCCAACCTAGCAGTTTGAAAGCAAGTAAAAAATGCAAGTAGAAAAATAGGGACCACTTTGATGGAAAGGTAACAGTGTTCCCTGAGCCTTCAGTGTTTAATAATGCCAGCCACATGACCATGGAGATGTTTTTGGACAGCGTGGCTCTTCGGCTTTGAAACGAAGATGAGCACCGCCCCCTAGAGTTGGGAANCAATTTGTATATATGTATATTAGATTGATGCTACCAATAATGGAAAAAACATGGAATTGAAAATTATTAGAGAATGTTATCAATGCTAAAATAATAGAATGATTTAGAATAATATATAAAAAAATCTTTATTATTGGATATATTGAAGATGATATAATGAATCTATCATATAAACGGATACATATTTAGAATACCTTGTTTAAAATGGAGAAACATTAGTGATAATCAAACAAGTGAAATATAATAATAATGTATATAAAAATATTTGATTGACAATATGTGATTTTTTGATAAATCTCGTGATGACTATGGAAAGGACGCAGAAAGACCTTGTAATCAATAAACACACTGTATGCAGTTGAAAAGGTTTTTATGTTATATGTTTTGTATGTGTGTGTTTGTTTGAAAATAAAAATTTTATTTAAAAAAAAGAAAATTTATACCCAGATTGTAAACCCCCCCCCCCAAAAAAAAACACTGTTTCTTCCTTTACTTCCGACCAACAGTTATGTTCATGACATAGGGCCTGTTATCTGGAGAATCAGTCATCTCTGTTTCTGCCTACTCAGTACATTCAGGTAGACCTGTCAATTCCTCTCAATTGCTGTTATGTTGTGGGACTAAGGAAGCACAATTTCTGTGTTGTTATTCTCACCTTTTAGAACAGCATCTCTGCCCCCCTCCATTGTCTTAATTTCAGAAGGCCCTTAAGATCTGGCTCTGCCACTTATCTGGGATAAGAGTGCTTGTGAAATCCTGTCTTTGTGGCTGTTGTTATTTTTAGGGTTGCTTTTTAGGGGGTCCGCAGTGAAGAAAAAATTGAGAACCACTCCTTTAAGATGTTTTAATTGCATAGTTTGATATATGGTTTATATAAAACCATATATATGGTTGATATATGTTTTATTTGCATAGTTTGATACATGGTGGCCTAGTGTGAAGAAACTTGCCTCCCACTCAGAGGGGTTGAAAGTTCAATCCTAGGTAGTAACAGATTTTTCTCTCCTAGGGCGCAAAGAAAAAAAATCTGCTGGGAACTCTGCATGGTGTCAGGAAGGGCATCCAGCTAGTAAATGCTCAGCTCCATCGAATCACTGTCACTCTACCCCGAATAATGGGATTACAGCATTGTAAAAAAAGGGGGGGTGTTTTTAATTCGAGGAGCCTGGAATGGGTGGCCATAACAAATTTGATAATAATATAATCCAATAAAAAAGCTTTCATGTCACTGGTGTCATATTTGTGCTTCTTGATTTATTGCTTAATGTTGTTTAGACATTGCGGAGACTCCTATGAACTCCAGGCTGGGGCTGCTGGTATTTTGAGCCCAACAGCGTCTTACTGTCCAGTCAAGTATTTCGATTGGTTCTTAGTATATAGGGCCACCTATATAGTGTTATAACTGTGCTTGTCAAATGGATTTTTTTTTGGCCTATGGCCGATAACAGATATTATATAAAGTGACATGAAGTGTATTGGTCATTGCATTTATTTTTTGCGAAAGGTTCAAATTTTACATAGAGATTTCTCTTAATTACCCTTAATTACCTTATGTAGATCTGGCTGAGTGTTAGTAGTCAAAGACCCTAAAATGACCACCATTTCACTACCAGTGAAATGGGGAATTTGAATGTGAGTTTTCTCATTCTAAGTCAACACCTGAGCCACTGCAGTACTCTAGTATATTGATATACATACCACATTTGGAACTGGAGTATTAGAAGAGTTGGTCTTTTTTCAAGTGTTCCACTTTCAAAATAATCTGTATAGAATAGCTTTGGGATCCTGTAAAGTATGGCTGTCTTTCTACTGATCTCTTTGTGTTGTCTACAAGAATGAGTTGGAAAAAACCTTGCAGGATCTTTAAACTGAGCAGGCAATCCTTACTGTCTCATAGAAAGGATTCGATAGTGGTACAAAATTGCTCAACCCAGAATAAAAAGCAGTAGGGAAATTGATATCTGTAAGACAATCTTCTAGCCCTTCAGTGTTTCATAGTAACCTGTATTGTGATAGTATCAGTCCTTAATCTTTTATAAATAGTTCCCAGGTGGTAAGCTGAAAAACTTAAAACTCTTATTGTTTCAGAAGAAGAGGATTGTTGAACTCTTTCAATAATAAGTTATTTTGTTTATCATTAGGAATCCCAACCTTTCGGAACTTTTTAAAAAAGAGTCTTATTATTGACTTACTGGAAAATACCCATGGACTTATGCTACATCATGGAAGATGATTAGTTCTCAGTGTGTACGATAAAGTAATTGAGACAGGATCATAGGTTCTTGTATTCCCTTCATAGGTTACTCATTGAACAACATGGCCATCATTTTTTTCAAGGTTTAATAATATCAGTTGTGTGCTATGGACAAATGTGCTGCTATAGATAGTTTTGTGGGTTCCATCAAAGAGTGACAACTGGAACTAAATGACTAAGATGTACAACTTCTAAGTAATGTTGGATCCAAAATGTTCTGAGGTTACCAGTTGTCTTATCATCAGATGAACGATACATGCTTTGAACTTCACAAAGCCCAACTGTTGTCAGTATAGTACTATGGAGTGTATCTCAGAGCAATTAATGTGAGTGATACAGTAAGGGTTAGGTATTGCCACTCAATAAAATGTTTAGTATCTATGGAATATATATTTAAAAAAAACATGAAATCCTAACAAAATTATCCTTGGAAAGTTTGGGGACATACTGTATCTCTCTATTCCAGAGTTCAGTAAGCAATAGAACATAATGCATCAGTTTCCTGTAGACCCAGATCTTTCTGGAGAAGTTATTACTTATTTTCAGTAATCTGGTTTATTTTTCTTTCATCACTATGACGCCACAGGTGAATGCTGATTAACTCTATGTTCTGCTCTTAAGTTCACATGGAACTTTAATAGAAGCTAGTAGACCCTGCATGGGCCTGTTTGAAATAAAGGCTGGCATTTTATTCTTATAAATCATCTTGATTTCAGCAGAAAGGCTTGTTGTAAATATAATAGTAAATTTTAGAAACAGAAATTTTATTTGCAGAAAATGTTTACGGTACTTTCTCCTTTTCAAGCACAGCTGGAACAAGGGTTAGAATATATTTGCAAATGATTCACCATACAAAGAATTCCTTGAAATATATGTGCACTTGGTTATAAGCTTACCTAATTAGGCATTGAGTTCTTAGAAATTCATGTTGCAAATTGAAGGCAATTGGGGTTTGCAATTCCTCTCCCCCAGTGTTATTGTTTGGTCACNTAATGGAGCAAGCCCTAGCACTTACTTGTTCCAGCTTCTGCCAACCTAGCAGTTTGAAAGCAAGTAAAAAATGCAAGTAGAAAAATAGGGACCACTTTGATGGAAAGGTAACAGTGTTCCCTGAGCCTTCAGTGTTTAATAATGCCAGCCACATGACCATGGAGATGTTTTTGGACAGCGTGGCTCTTCGGCTTTGAAACGAAGATGAGCACCGCCCCCTAGAGTTGGGAACGACTAGCACATATGTGCGAGGGGAACCTTTACCTTTGCATTACACTAACATTTCTGAACTATCATCATTCAGTGCCTGCTACAACCTTTCAGAAATATCAGACTACAACTCTGAGAACTCTTGGAGAGCACAGGAGTTGTAGTGTAGCATATTTAAGGTTGGATGTCCAAATTCTCCAGTTGCGTATGTGTACTAGTTGGAGGAAGCGGCTAAGACCCATGAGCCTTATTTCCTTAACAAGAATTCTATCACTCCATTCTGTTAAGCTTCCTAGAGTTTTGAGCATCAGGTTATTATGAGGAAGTTTAAGTCAGGAAATGTTTTTAATAATATTTTAAATGGTTTAATTTTCAAATTGGTGTAATTGTTCTAAATACTAATCTTTTTCTTATAGAGATCCACGGCCAACAAACCAACGCTTCAACGAGCATGTCAACAATGATGTAAACCTACGGATACAAAACCTCACTATTTTGGTCAGGAACATCAAAACCTATTATCAGGTATATGTGTATACATGCATTTATCTGCAATACCATCTGCCAGAAAAATACTATAAAACATTTTGTTAAAAGAGCAGACCAGAGGAAGTTGTGTTTATGATTGTGAATATGAAACTGAAATTTTCAATTAATGTTCTGATCCTTGAAACATGTTAAGAAAAATACTGAGCCCTATTAAAGTGCAGACATTTGTTTTTATCACAGGAGTGATTTCAGGTAGATAATGTCCTTTGGCTAGTTTTAGACAATAATACAGATTATAGTGAATCTGCTGCCCTGGATGATTGAGAATCTCTAGACATGCAGCATATTCACCGTAATCTGTATTACTGGACATTCTTCTTGTTGTTTTTTTCCTTGAAAAAAAAGAACTAAAGAAGCTTCTTGGATAAAAAGCTAAACCTTTTCAAGGGAGGGGAAAAAAACCCAAGAAAGTTCAGTTGCATTTTGAAAAGCAACTTTGGGACATGAATTTGCTGCAGTAAAATCTTTTCAAATTATATTTTTCATGTAAAGTCTATCTAGAAAATTGATACTTTGGCTTACTAAAGTCCAAGAATCGTCTATCAGAGCATCCATTGTTGAGCCAGAGAGTAATTATTTCTTTTGATTTCTTAGTTACGTCATTATGTAACTTGATTTAGGCTGAAATGTTTACATGGAAAGCACATATCAGTAGCAAATTAAAATGTGAATTGAAGGTTTCCTGTACGTTTTTAGATTATATAAGGTGTGTGTAGCTCAACTAGTTCAAACGTTTATGGTATGAGTAATGTCAATCTTTTTGGTAAAAGCATGTGAAGTTATATAAAATTGGTAACTATTAATATTTTTTTAATGAAAAACTCCCAGGTCAAGTCTAAAATAGAACATACATAACTAAATTCCTCTGTATGGAGGTGGCATTGGCAGTTTAAAGTTAAATAAAGTATCATAATGATATGTTATTATTAGCAAGAAAAATCACTGGTCCTTATCTAACATTTACTATTCACCTGGATGAGCACATCTAGAACTTGAACATTATTTTATGGTTGATCAGTCTTAAGCTCATACCACTCAAATTATCCAGCAGTGTATATTTAGTTTCAGATTGACCAGTTGATTAATTGCTATAACACAGTCTACCATTATTTCATCAGCACTAACACTCCGACTTAAATTGGTGGGGAAATCCTGATTTCTTTATTATCTGAAATATAATCTAGTAAACTTAATCAGCTAATTTGTGATTTTTATTTGTTTCAATTTATAAAATATATTCCTGTATAAAATCTTGATAAGTCTCTAGTTACCAGAATGATCAGGATATGAGTACTAAAAGGAGGTTTTAACTTTTAAGAATATTAACTCTATTCAAAATTATATCCTTTAAAAAGACTTCCTGTAATCTTGTCAGCCCTTGCAGATAAACCAGACAGGAAACATGACTAGATGAGTTAATTCTACTTTATTGCAAAGCTACCTTAACAGAATCTTGCAAGACTGAAGGCACAAACACCCCATCATCTCTTTTAATTACTTAATCCATTAGAGCAGGTCTAAGTTTCTTTCTATGATCATTAAGCTAATGGGGACCCCTCCCACCCTCAATTGTTTCCTAGGAAGCATCTCTTCCCCTCATCTAGAGGTGGTATTCAGCAGGTTCTGACCAGTTCTGGAGAACCGTTAGCTTTTGAATAGTTTGGGGAACCGGTAAATACCACCTCTGACTGGCCCCACCCCCATCTATTCTCTGCCTCTCGAGTCCCAGCTGATCGTGAGGGAATGGGGATTTTGCAGTAACCTTCCCCTGGAGTAGGGAATGGAGATTTTAGAGTATCCTTCCCCTGCCACAATCACAAAGCCATGCCCACAGAATGGTAATAAAAAAAATTGGATCCTACCACTGCCCTCACAGTCATCCACAAGTTCCATTACAACTTTTTGGTACATTGATAGAGATGGATGATGGCCCTGAAGCTGTCATTGTATATAAGAGAAGATTGGGATCACAATTTGAAGCATAATATTGCTCAAATCCAGATGATTTTATTTTTCTGATTTTAATTTTAGATGAATTAATAAAAAAATTAAAATTGATTCTACTATCCAAAAACATTCCACATTAGTTTTATGCTACTTACTGGTAATTAATATGCATATGATTAATTCTTAAATCTGTCATTCTCTAATTTTGGATACTAAGTAAGGTCTGACTGGCTTGTGTTTGGATGGGAAAAACTAAGATAGGAGTAGAAATTGAAAAAAAATCCAAAGAAGGCAATAGCAAGCCATTTTCATATTGTCTAGAAATCTCCATGGATGTATTCAGACATTCATCGAGAGTTAAACATGATTCAAAGGTATCTCTGCTTTTTTCATTTTATATTTGGGGATATAGTTCTGTAGACAGCTAACTTGGAAGTTTCCATATTCTGAATTTCCAGTACATTTTAACAAAGTAACTTTTTTTACACTTTTGAATATCATACTCTGTGCAAACAATGTACAATGCAATTGTAGTTTCTTTGTCGATGTAGAAAATATTAGTATGTCTGGGTAGCGTTTTTTGGAATTGTCTGCTGATGTTTCATCTTATTATTCTTTCTTTTGGTGACTGCCCTTTGTTAAGACTCTGTGCCTTCCTCAGAGTCAATTTATATTCGGTAGCAAAATGGTATTCAAGGAAAGCAATATATGCTAAACTCATTTGTATTAAAATTCATATTTTCTTACCTTGTAAAATTTCTACTGATTTCTTCATTAGTAAAAAAAAATCATAATTAAAAGAATATAAGTTAAATATGGTGCTTGAAAATATAATTATAGGAATGCTTTTAAAACAAAATTTTAAAGCAGTTGATCAGAGCTGGTAATAAATAATAGCAATATATATGGTAGGTGACAGGTTGAAGGGTAAATTTCTAAGTATCCATGGCAATAGTAGATGAATTTTAATCATATGGAGAACTCCTATTGTACAGTATCTGGGAACCAGCCTATTCTTCATCTGTAGTTTGCATTTATTATAAGTGTTTCCATAATGCAGCAGATGTTGGTCAGCTGATACACGTTTTGGAGACTCCTAGTTGACTAGATTCTAAAATAGGTGTAAATTAATTCTGGCCACAGAATTCTGCCCTTCTGAAAAGTTTACATGTGTTTTCTAGTTTCTTCTATAGAGTAATTAAGAAAACAGAAATAAGAATGGAGTGATTTAATTTATCTCTGGATCATGAATGCTTTGTATTCCCTCGGTTATGCAGAAAAGCAAAATTGAACAATGGGAACTGGTAATGTGGACCAAATTTGTTAAGGAAAAGCAATCCTGCAGTCAAGATGATTATTTTGCACTCGTGACTGCTATCAAAATAATGTATCATGGAGATTCCCCCGCACTGTTTCTGACCAATAACAGAAATGTTGACTTTTATCTCAAGGTCAGCGGAGTTCCAGCATCTTCCCAGTTCCAGGCTGCTGCTCTAATTTTTACAGTCTCATAAATCTAGTTGTTGTAAACTGAATAGAAAGTGTAAGAGCTGGAGATCTAATAGCAAGATTGGGCATGTTTTTCTTTCTTTACATTCCCCTATCTGCTCCAAATGTTTAATTACATTACAGCCTTGTCAAGCTGGTGCCTTTCTCTCCGAAATGGCTTTTTGTTTTCTCAGAGTGCAAATCAGGCATTATCCGAAGCAAATATTTTAAACCCTCCCTTTTTTTTAAGTGAAGTGAAAATATGGAACATTCTTCAAATTCTGCATCCAGTTTTGTTTCTTGGAAAATTAAATAATTTTTTGCTCTACGTGTAAAATAGTTGTGCCATTTGCTGCTTTCTTAACTTTCTTTAATTTTTCTGGGATCTTTTGTCTTGTTTTTAAAAGAAAAATATGTGTTATATTTTTTTTTACTTGCTGGAGGTGAACAGGTTACTATGTGAAAATGTGCTTGATTTAAATTGAACAATAGAAATAGTTTTGGAGGTTCCTAAGCAACAATAGAAATAGGCTGTGTTACTTCCTCAAGGGAAGTTTTCATCCTCAATGTATTTGAGTGGTGGTGTTTTTCCTTTGTCTGATTTATTGCTCTTCTTTGCTGGGCAAAGAAAATGAGACCTTTCTAATTTGAGGAATTCTGTAGTAGATGAAATTAAAAAGTAGTAATTTATAACAGCCTCTTTATATTTTAACCCTTCATAAGAGAACAGTTTTAACCTTTCATAAGAGAACAGTTTTAGCTTTCCTAATTTGTTAACAAGTCCAATGGGACAGAATACCCATATTTAATGTTTTTCAGTATATATGCATTAAAAAAAATACCAGCATGGCTACGAAATCAAGTAGCTCCTTAATAGCAAAAGGTTGGATGAGAAATAGTACACCTTAAGGTTACCAGATCTGTGCTGACTTAATACAGGTATCCCCTAAATGATAGCTAAAAATTCAGAGAACCCCCTTTGCTAACATTTAGTGGTTGTCAAGAATTTGGAAGCCTTAATTTATAGACCTACAATGCATAGAAATTTGAAGCCATATTCATCACTAATGAGGAAATTCTGCCTCTGGTTTTTATATGCTATTACTAGAATAATATATTAATAACATGGCAGGGATTTATAGAGAACATGGTTATACAGGTACTTCTCAATTTAAAACCATTTGTTTAGTGATCCCCTGAAGTTACAACAGCAGTGAAAAAAGATTTATAACAGCTTTTCATACTCACATACACACAACTCCCCGTGATCAAAGTTCAGATGCTTGGCAAGTGCCATGTATTTATGACCATTGCCGTGTCCGGGGTCATGTGATCACCTTTTGCACCCTTCTGACAAGCAAAGTCTGTAAGGAAGAGAGAGTCACTTAACAACTGTGTTACTAACTTAACAACTGCAGTGGTTCACTTAACAATTGTGGCAAGAAAGGTTCCAAAATGGGGCAAAACTCACAATCAATATCTTAGCAAGACGTTATGGGATCAGTTGTGGTCGCGCTGATCGATGATCTCTGGCGGGCCAG